AACACTTCTATCCAACACAAGCATGGGGTTTAACTATATGTACATATAACACACATAAAAAAAAGAAAATAATAATAAACTACCCCCGATTCGTTACTTATTTCTACAGATTATTTTCTACAGCTTTGGTTATGATTTAATTCTTTTAAACCTTCGCTCTGATACTACTCTTGTCATGCCTCAAGACCTAATCAAAGAATTAAATCATGAATCTAACTTTCTCATCCACAATATGGAATATATTGGATCTAGCTAAGTAATCTAAAACATTTAAATAATATAGACAATCATACAAATTTTATTTTAAAGGAATTATACACAATTAATCCAGTACAAATTTTTTCTACATATTAAAACATAAAATTGGACTTACAAAATATCTTTGTTGAGATAGTTTCTGACTGTCCCAACTCCGAACCTTATCAACCCCTACTCAACTGTACCTTCCCCTTTCCTGAAATTTGATAAAACACATGGTGTGAGCATTCATATGCTTGGCAGGCTTATCCAAAATCTATTATAGAAGTCAATGCCCATAGTTGAAGTGTACAAATAAAAGATTTAAACGACATTTGTAAAATTATTGAAAATAACTTTATTTTTAGAAAACATTAATAAAAGGATTACTTATATTTTTTGGTTTGCATTATCAGAAAAACAACATAAGTATATTGTAAAATTGAATATGCAGAAGATATAAATTCTCAAAATTTGTTATTTGAACTTGAATATTATAAATATTTTTATGGACATTCACTTGTACTTTCATAGAAACATTAGATTATAGCCAACTGGGTTGGAGAATTCCTGTCTTGTTGGTGCATTCCTACGAAATCCACTATTTGTTGTACTAGTGGTAACAAAAACTTGTTTAAAATTGAACTTATTCCATTTAACAAAATATGCTACATATGAATCATGATATGCACATCTCTCGATGCCTACTACTTTCACTTATGACTCTAATGTCAACTCATCTGCTTATGACATGTGGCGGAGATCTAGCTCAATTCTCCTTACAACTCTACTTCCACTTCTAAGTCTATTTAACCTTCCACACCTGCATAAGGCAGATGAGGCCAAAAATAACCTCTCACATCTGCACATGATAGATGAGGTTATAATAAAATAAAAAATCATGCCCGTATAATCGAACTTGTAATGCATTTTAACATCCCCACATCA